AGGAATCCTTTTGAGGCGGAAGAAAGGGGGGGGGGAGGTTGTAATGACATAGCCATTTCATACATCTCTATAATGTGCCAGCAAGTCTGAGGAAGGAAAAAATGTAGTGTCTAATCATTGGCCAGGCAAAATCAGAGGAGCGTCCTCGTCACAGAGTGGAAGAAACGGTAAACGTAAAGAGAAGAATGTGCAGCTCCCAATCAAATGCATCTTTCTAGAGAATGTTCAATGCATATTGATCGGCAGTACTCCCGAAACGAACCGTGAAGAAGATTGAAAATGGAGCGTTCATTAGACATCTGAACAACGAGAAGGTTGCACGAATGGTTCTTGACAGCTGTGGGCAGGGTAATTTCTACTGGAACTGATACCTCGTTGCGTTGAGATTGGATGCAGGACATCTGTCAATTTCAGAAGCAGAACCTGTAGAAACCTTGGAACAGGTCGCTGAAGAGCAGGCTGTATGCACTTCGACTCCCCGAACTTCGAAGAGGATCTAGTCGAAAAGCACGATGCGGAGCAGGAGGTCTGAGTTGCAGTACACATCGAACAAAGGGCCGAAAATGGAGTAGTGCGCAGCACTCTTACCAAGACCTGACTGATTTGACGCGAATGTAATACAGTAAGCTAGCACACGGAGTACTAGACTCGGTCTCCAATCGCATCAATGTTCTGCTTTTCTGTCCCTTCATCTTTGCATAGCGCTCTATACTACTGACCTCACTCGTTCCAGCTGTTCATGCATCATAAGTGGCACACCTACCTGTGAGTCTCCTCCCCTCAAAAACCTCATTCTCTAACCTGTCAATGTTTGTTTCACCTCTCGATGCTTTGGAAGCCGCTGTTCTTCACCTTTAGTCAAGAAACCAGGAGCAGCCGTGTTCGCAGAGCGCTTCTGCGTTTCGCCAAAGCTCAGGCCATCTTCCAGCGTATACTATTGTTGTGCCGATGACGCCAAGGGGTCATATTATGCCGCTAGGGGAGGGGAGTTGTACTTGGCCTCGTGGTTGCTTGATTTTTCCTGTTTCGCGTTCGCTATATGTCTCTCCAGCACTCTTCAGCTAAAGTACTTCTGAATGCTGCGAGTTGTCAAAAACTGCTCTTGCTAGCATCGTCATTTTGCATACAGGGCAATGCATGTACCGCGACGTGGGGAGTCCCAGTGGGCTGCGTCGTGATATTGAACAGAGCAGTAGCAGCGTTGGTGGGACGCTCGATGTGGAGCCCTGACGATCTTCGTAGACAAGCATGTTTAGTCAGGACGTTGTGAAAAACCAGCCATCCTTGACGCTGTAAATTAGCTTTGGGGAGGGAGGGAAGGGGGGGGGGGGGGCAGTAGATTCCACAGTCTTGCGGTGGAACTCAGCTGT